AAATACTTTATTTTTCACATATAAGTTTTTAAACAATATCGTCGAGACTGTAAGAATTTTAAATAATAATTTCAAATTCTCACAAAAGTCAGTGCAAAAGAAAAATATGAATCATTATTTTCAACCGCACTATCCGAGTTATAAATAAATAATATACTAAAATGTAAATATATATTAATAACTTCATTTTAACAACTGGGGTATGTGGATCAGTTTTAGCACATTAAAGCAGAGAGCCATTAAATTTGAAGGGAAAGATTGTACACGGGTGAGGGAGAGCGTGGAGGGGATTAGTATGGAGCAACTTCCCCATTTTGGTTTGTTGACCCTGACCCACAATTGTGAGGTGCATTTTGATAGGTGGACCACCACCATCCTCAGGCCACGTCGACCCTTAATCACACGTGGGAATCTGTACTCACGTGTGTAGGGTCAACCCGTTATTAGTAAACGGTGTATACCGACTGTGCTCGTGCCTCTTGTTTGACAATGTTGGATCTCCCTACGGTATAGATTGATTGCGTGCTAGAAGAAGAAGAAGAAGAAGAAGAAGAATTGACCGACTCCGTTTTGCTGCTGTGCCAATATTTCGTATCGGGAAGCCAAAAATAAGTCTTTAAGCAGAAAAGCTAGTTTAATACGAATATAATTGATATCATTTTAAGTAGGTCTAATTTCAGTTTATTTGACGAAAAATAACTTTTAACATAAAAATTTATTTTTTAAAATTTTTTTCTTTTTAAAAATATTTTTTGACGTTTGACATTATATGAAAAACTCGTTGAAAAATATATTTCAGCATTTGTTTGATACGTGAAAACTAAAATATAAAACATGTTATAATTGTTACATTAACGAGTTTTGAAAAAAGTTTAACGAGTCATATTTATAATTTCACAATATAAGATACATTTAGAAAAATATAATAAAATTTTATAAATACCGACTCTAAGATTTAAATTCAAAAAATCAAAAAATAAAATATACATCTTTTAATTATCAAACCAATTTATCAAAACTACTTGAGACAAAATCAAGTCAATATTCACATTTAGTATAAAAAAAAACGTTTAATTAATCCTCACTTTATTATTTTGGTAACTCAATTAAGATTTTTTTTAAAAAAAATTAACTCGATAATTTAGTCTATAAAATAATTTTATAAATTATTAGTTATTATTTATAGATAAATTATTCATTTGTTTTCAAAAGATTATTGTTGAAATAATTTGTAACTAATTATTGACTACAATTACCAACAAAATTTTACAACTCGATTAGAATTAGTCATAAATTATTGATTTAGTTGCAAATATAGTGTTAGAAAAATAATTTATTTATTAATAAGTTAATTAGTTTCAAATTTTTCACAAATGATTGCAGTCTTGTAATAATCATTTTCAATCATTTAAGTATAGTTTAGACGGTGTTTGGGATAATGATAAAAAAAAAGACAAATTATTGAATTATTTATTATAAAAAATAATTTTAAAGTGTAAAATTGGTTTTTAAGAATATTTAATGTATTTATAAATCGAAAAATCAAATGTTAGTAGAAATAGAGAAAAATAATTAAATAATTGATAATAATTGATAAGAAATAATTAAAAATTAATTTGATATAAAAAGAAGATAGAGAAAAAATTGTTAAAATATATCGAGAAGAGGTGAGTAACGAGAGAGCGAGATAGCTCATAAGAGAGAGGAAAATGTTTCGTCTTTTATAACTCAAAAAATACTTTTCCAAAAATATTCTATCATTTTTCATTCACATTTTTTTCTAAATGCAAAACAAACATCAGAAAATGAGAAAAAAAAAACCAAGTTCTTAAAACTTATTTTGCCCCAAACAGGCCAAACAAACACAACCCTAAATGAATAGAGTTCCATGTATCCTAAATATATATTATTTTTTAATTTTACGTTAAATATATATATATATATATATATTTTTTTTATTTTAGATTAAATAATAAATAGTACTTAGATAATAGATGTTCGAATGAATATTTAAAATCCAATAAGTTAAATATAAATATTCAAAATTTCCACTTAATTAATAATAAATAAAGTATAAATATTCGAAATCCAACCCATAAGTAGCAATATAAGATACATTTAAAGAAATGTAATAAAATTTTATAAATACCGACTCTAAGATTTAAATTTAAAAAATTAAAAAATAAAATGTGCACTTTTTAATTATCAAACCAATTTATGAAAACTACTTGAGACAAAATCAAGTCAATATTCACATTTAGTAAAAAAAAAAAACGTTTAATTAATCCTCGCTTTATTATTTTGGTAACTCAATTAAGATTTTTTTTAAATTAAGCTGATAATTTAGTCTATAAAATAATTTTACAAATTATTAGTTATTATTTACGAGATAAATTATTAATTTTTTTTCAAAAGATTATTGTTGAAATAATTTGTAACTAATTATTGACTACAATTACTAACAAAATTTTACAACTCGATTAGAATTAGTAATAAATTATTGATTTAGTTGCAAATAAATAGTGTTAGAAAAATAATTCATTTATTAATAAGTTAATTAGTTTCAAATTTTTCACAAATGATTGCAGTCTTGTAATAATCGTTTTCAATCATTTAAGTATAGTTTAGACGGTGTTTGGGATAATGGTAAAAAGAAGAAGAAGATAAATTATTGAATTATTTATTATAAAAAATAATTTTAAAGTGTAAAAATGATTTTTAAGAATATTTAATGTATTTATAAATCGAAAAATCAAATGTTATTAGAAATAGAGAAAAATAATTAAATAATTAATAATAATTTATAAGAAATAATTAAAAATTAATTTGATATATTTTAAATAAAAAGAAGATAGAGAAAAAATTGTTAAAATATATCGAGGGAGAGGTGAGTAACGAGAGAGCGAGACGAGCTCATAAGAGAGAGGAAAATGTTTCTGTCTTTTATAACTCAAAAAATACTTTTCCAAAAATATTCTATCATATTTCATTCACATTTTTTTCTAAATGCAAAACAAACATCAGAAAATGAGGAAAAAAAAAAACAAGTTCTTAAAACTTATTTTGCCCCAAACAAGCCAAACAAACACAACCCTAAATGAATAGAGTTCCATGTATCCTAAATATATATTATTTTTTAATTTTACGTTAAATATATATATATATATATATATATATATATATATATATATATATATATATATTTTAGATTAAATAATAAATAGTACTTAGATAATAGATGTTCGAATGAATATTTAAAATCCAATAAGTTAAATATAAATATTCAAAATTTCCACTTAATTAATAATAAATAAAGTATAAATATTCGAAATCCAACCCATAAGTAGCAATTGCCATTCCTATATTTAAGTCTTAACCTTACAGAATAATACATTTTATTCAACAAAAAATTAAGAAATTTTTTGGTACCATTTGTAAGTTTTGTTTTGGACTTTTTTTTTTTAATGAAAAAAAATCAACAACCACTATCCTAATTTGGGAAAACCATTTTACTTGATTTTGAAAAATGCTGACAATCAATTGTTGGTTTTTGCATTTTTAAACATTAAAAACAAAAATCAAAACAAGTTTTTTTTTTTTTTTTTTTAAGGCAGAAATGATACCAAATGACCTGAAAAAATGATGCCAAATGACCACCTAAACATCCTTCTTTTTTCATTTGACTTGTGTTTGAATAATTCCTCAAAATTTGTAGGGCGATGGCTCAGTTGATGAATATATTTGCTCATATACTGTACCAGTTGTTTGAATTCAAAACATTAAAGAAAATCTTGAAAATATCATCCAATTATATAAGTAGTTTCAATATTACCACCGAATAATTTTTTATATTAATTTTACCATCAAACTTTCAAAAATTTTCAGTGAAGGATTTTTATCTATTTTTAAAGCTTTTAGTTCATATTTCTATCCAAATTGTATTTGTTTTGGGTAAAAAATAATGTCGTTTTGTAGCTTTTTTTAATTGATTTTAACTGAAGTTCTTAATTAAAGAATCAAAATAATTTGATAATAAAATTGATAGAAAAGAATAATTTGAATGCAAAATTGATAACAACCCTATAATTTGATGCCATATTTAATATTTGTCCTAACAATATTTGAAAAATATCTTTTATAAATACATTAGGAAGCATCTCAATATATGCGCGCATTAATAGATCTGATATAAAATTTCAACATCAAAAGCGATACTGTCAAACACTTGTTTTTAATTGTCTGAAACAATCAGCATTATTTTGTGTCCAGAGCCAAAATTATTCTTACCCTTGCATAACTATTGTAAGAGAAAATCCCCTGGATGTTTAAGTTTAATGTCCGGAATGGAGGATAGTCCTCTTTCCTTATATAACAATAATTATCGAGATCCTAACCATGCTTTGCTGAAGGAACTCGATTAGCATTTAGCAAATGTAATAAAATCAGACAATTACTTCCAGGACTGAAAAACTGGTACTTATTGAGTTATTCCTCTGCGTAAAAAAAAAATTGAAAGAAATCAAAGGTTTAATAAGTTTTTTTTAACCAAACACTCGTACGTAATATTAGTATAATTTTATTTTTTATTTTTGTGAACAGAAATAACAGCACAACTTTGTGAAAACAATTTTAGTGAAAATAAAAAAGAAATGCTAGATACCCCAAGTCAATCAATCAAGCACAAGGTACAAAGTACATTCCTCTTCATGCATCTGTAGCACACATTTCTCGTGCGTTATGTGCCCAACATAAAAACAAAAGCAATTACCAAAACTAAAGTCAAGAACCACCACTGTTCATGCCTGCTGTATATAGCAAGTATATTGCAACAGCCAGCAATTAACACATTCTAAATAAATAAATAAAAGACAATTATTTATCCCGTTAAGAACACAAATTACAAATGACTAAACCCCTAAGCTGATTATTTCCAGCAAAGTTAATTTCCATTTGTTAGTACTTACATTAACACTAAATTCCTATTATTTTGATCAAACTTATCATTGTTGTTGATTACTCCCAGGATGCCCCATCAACTGCAACTCCTGCTTATCATAAATCTCTAAAGAAAAATCCCTCAACATTTGCGCCTTTCCTCCATTATTTTTACCACTGCCACCACCACTACCACTACTGGAACTCACACTTGGAGCCATGGTCGATTTCTTGGCCACTTTAGCCCCAACCGATGTGCTAGTAACCACCGATGAAGGTGCCCTAAATTCAACCCCACTAGGTATATTCACAACACTTGCTGCTGCTATATTTACACCTGTTTGATTCCCACCATTTGTTGATGCCACAAATGGTGATATGGGCCTCCCGGCTGCAACGTTAAACACAGGAGTTAGCGACGGTGACAAGGCCCATATTTGTTGATTTGCTGGGACAGCAGCAGCAGCAGCAAACGCTGGAGCTGTGGTAGGAGTGCCTGCAGCCGCAGCTTGTGGAATCATCCAAAAAGCATTTGCTGGCACCATCATGCCAGTATTTCCCACAGCTAAAACAGGTACCAGTCCCTGTGGTGTCGCGGTTGCAGCAGTTGGTGCTGTGGGCGTTACCGGGGCTAAACCAGATGTCTGAGAAATCGAAACGGCTGCTGCTTCACTAATATCACAAAACTCCGAATTCGAAGGGCGCTTCCGTTTCTTTGGTGTTTCAGTTAGTGACTCACTGTTGCTAGAGAATGCCGTAGGGATTTTGAGAGTCCCATCAACGGAGACAGCAATAGCAGGGACCGTGCCGGTGCCGGTAGCTTCAATGATAGCTTGTTCAGCATGTTCAAGCAGCCATCTAACGGTTTCACCGTCTGATTTATGGCCTAATTCTCGGGTCAATTGGAAGATCCGGGCAGCACAAGTGGCGGGTATTCGGATTCTACGGCCACGGCCCTCCACTTTTGTGTGGCGGTCTTTGGTGGATGAGCGTCTCGTTGTTGCTGTTGTAGTGACCGGCACAGGCATTGGAATTGACATTGGCATCTGCATCTGCATCTGCCTAGCTAGCGGGACTACACCCTTTGGGTGGGTTGCTTGGTCCGGCCTAGAAGACGGGTCGGAGTCAATTGGCTCTTCCTTCAAGGGCATGACTTGAAGCGCTTCTGTTTCATCAATTGTTGATATCTTTAAGCACCCATTATTGCTGCTGCTGTTGTTGTTCCTATTGTCTTCTGGGTCACCAGCGCTCGTGCTAAGATCAGAAGTGCCACCTTCATCATCTGGGTCCATTTCATGTTCTTGGAATGATGTCATTTTTTTACGGTAAGAAAAGAAAGAAAGAAATTTGTTTGTTTCTATAGAAAATGGATGGAAAGGATAGGGTTTTGGTAAAGAGGTTGAAGGAGGAACTATATATAAACTGACTAACAGAGAGAGACTTTGTGGAAAAGTTGGGGGTTACAAAAGGAGAAAGAATCAAAACCCAAGAATTTATTTCCATTAGGGATTCTAATAATCACGATCTCGTTGTTTATAGCTTCATCGAAAAAGAGCAAGTTTTTTGGGGTGGGGAAGGAGAAATCAAACGGTCAGGAAGGGATCTTGAAAGCTTGGTGAAGAATGAGGAAGTGACACGTGTTAGAAATTTGTTGGTCACCATTTTGTGCGTGCAATGTAGGTCCCAATTGAAGTGGACCACAAGGGGTGGGGGTACACGGTGGTCTCGAGCTCAACCAAATTGGTTAATAGAGTGGTGACAGAAAAGTTCTGGGAAAAAAAAAGTTGGAGTCTTTTGTGGTTTAATTAATTGGATTCTCATTGGTTGATGACACCTTGCCGTGGGGGTCCATGCATTATCAGAAAGGAAAAGTTCTCTTTCTCCACTGTTACAATTTTCTATGATGATGGAGGAATAGGCAGGAGCATTACAGATTTTGATACTTGCTGCTCTTTACTCAAGCCAGTAAAAAGAGTCATGCAAGGTTTGCTTTATCTCTGCTTGAATTTTACCCATGGAACAATTTATCAAAGCAGTAATCATCTGATATGTTAGAGCATATTCAATACTTTCTTTATATTAAATTTTTTTTATAATAAAGAGATTTGATCAAAATTTCATCTCCAATACTCTTTTTATCATAATATTTATCTTTAAAATTGAAATACGATCTGTCTTGAGTTTAAATGACTCTTTGTCTTATATTTTATTAATTATTAATAAAAATTACTTTTTCCTATGTCGTTCAACCTTTTCATCAATAGTCTTCTTAGGTTTTATGAATTTTATCAAAATAAAGAGTTAAAATAGAGAGTATCATTAGAGAGAACATTGATCTTTAATCTATATAATTAATGATACTCTCTATTTATATTAAAAATGCTAACTAAAAATAGAGAGCACTATATTGAAAATGCTCTTATGGAACCAAAGACATCTCATACAATTGTCAGTTGTTTTCAAATAGTTGTTGCCATATATCTATATATTTCTTAACAATTGTTTTCAAACTTATCATGTATGGGTAGTTCTTTTATCATTATTTTCGATCTTTTAAAGTTGTTTTCTAAATTATAAAAATGAACACCATACTAGACAAGCCCTCAGATCATACTTTTGTTGTTTCCCACTTCCCAAGCATGCAATGGTCTTGGGAAATGACTTGCCGTTACTGGCATATAATAGAGTTACCAAGAACCCATTCAAGCTCAAGACTGGATGTTCTTATTTTAAATTACATATTTGTCTTCCATTTGTTTCGTTGGTATGCATCAACCGCAATCCACTTAAGCTTACCATGCCTGGTTCTTGACGATCTTGAATGGCTTCTCTAGCACCTTTCCTTTCGTTCTTGACTTTTGGGCTTTTATTTAGCTTTGACATTGCCGCTACTGACTTCCAAAATTGAACCTGTTCATTTTATGAAACTCGGGATAAAAAAAGTAATAAAATAAAATAAAATAAAAATCCAAGGAAAAAAAAACAATTGTTAACAAGAGCTGAAGCTGAATGGTGCTTGGTTCTAACTAATTTACAGTCAAAACGCCTCAAACAATGTCGTTTTTGGCTTTTTTTTGGGCGTGAAATGACGTCAATTTCTAACCAAATTCAAGTATTTTTGGAAATTAGCTTTCACTTCAGTCCTTCATATTGGAGTTTTGTGCAGAATGGTCTCTAAACTTCATTTGTATTAAAAATAAGTCCCTGTATGTAGAGATATGAGAGAGAAGGGTTTTTTTTTTTTTTTGGGCTTCTATGGATTAGAATGTGTTTTAAGATTCAAAATGAATTTTTTGTATTTTTAGAATGATTCTAAGGTGTTTTTAGGTTAAAATAATGTAAAATTTTGGTGCGGAGGGCTGAAAATAATGGCCTCCTATTTTCGACAATAAATTCGCCATCTAAATTTGTAGGTGACAATGCTTGAAGTTGTAGCATTGTTGCAGGTGGTGGCCTGACGAATGTAGTGTCAATCCATACAGGGAAAGCGTCCACCTTTTTCTTAATATATATATATATATATATATATATTGACGTAGCGCGGAAGCAAAGTAAACAACGCAATTTCAAAACCCAGAATTGCAAAATCTGATTTCAAGAGAATCAAGTTTTATTGAATGAAAAATACTAAAAAAGAAGTGCCTAGTAACAACATCAAAACCAAGTATTTATAATCTTCGACATGCCCTAAAAATCAAGAAATAAAATAGTTATTCTACCCAAGATAGAAATCTAAGACAAAATAGAAATCTACTAATTTGAGGCAAAGAACTCTGCTATTTTGATGCCCCATCATATATATATATAGGTCTTAGGCCTGTATGCATCCAACCTAGGCCCGTAGCCACATAGGCTTGGTTGCCCGACCCGTTGTTTATGAGGAGGCAAGAACCGAAGCTATACTCGCAATGGAGTGAAAAACGTTACATCCTATGAAAGATGATAAGTTTAAAGACACTATAAGGGTTGCAATCATTGATAAGTCAGATTTAGCTCTAAAAAGAACAAAGGAAAAAAATCTTTTCAAATTTATTAACTCTCAAAATTATTACGTAAGTCCGAAAAAAATCTAAGGCTAAACACGAAACAAATCTAAACTAGCCTTTAAATAGGCTAAACACCCCACTCTTAACCTCGCCACCCAAAGAAATAGAAACAAACACTAATAGACTTAAAAACATATGCAAATAATAGAGCTTAAAACATAGAGCTCAAATTTGACTTAATTAATTAGTTCTAATTATAATTAAGTTAGGCTTAAAACATTAAGCTCAAGTCTCACTTAATTAATTAGTTATAATTATAATTAAGTTAGGTATAATAAAATAGGCCCAATATGATTTAAGGAGTCTAATTTTGAACTTGGATCAGATTAACAAGTCTTGAATCCCCCATCTCTCTTAAGATGACACCACAATGCTCCATTAGAAGTGCATTCTACCCAACACTCTTGAATCAACTTATGGAAAGCTTATTTAAGCTTTTTAGCCCTAACCCGCATTATTAGACCATCTTTTAATGCATGACCGATCAAATCTTAGATTTGCAAACTCGCCATCTTGGACCTCCCTTGGAGATGGTACCTTGTTAGTCCATTTGGCTCTTTGGTTTCCATCAATACAACCTTGATTTTTTTTATTCTCATCAATATGCGTTCACAAAAATTAATTAAATAATTTATTTAATTATATACTAATCTATATTAATTTGGTATGAATCTAGCTATAAAGAGATGTCTTGAAATGATAATGAACTTCACCCAGTGTAAGGTTTTGGATAATAAAATAATAGACACAAATATTCCGATAGGATTATTGTTCATGCTTTATTTTTTAGATACCTTAGTAAAATTAGTTTGGTGAGTTATGAGTAGGATATGATAAAATAATGCCTAATTGTTACTTCATTTAGTCTTTCCTAGCAAGACGAAGCAATTTAATCTAAAAAAACCCAATTTTTGTTTCTTAACCCAATTCCAACGATTCAAACATAAATGATGTGAGATAATCTTAATAACTAAGAGACACCTTCTTTCTACTATAAATATTAACCTCATAAAAATTGTAATGAGACTTTTGACATTTTTTTTTGTAGAGTTTTGATATTTTTATAAACATAATTCTTTTAAAACTCTAATACTCACACAATAAACAACATCTAAAATTCTATTTATTTAGACTTTGATCATCTAAATGCCTACAACTTGACTTGTGCTTTGCTAACAATGTTTGCTCCTCCTTCTCTACCCTTCTTACTATTATCATTTGTTCTATTTGATTGGTTGATTGTTTTTTCTATAAGTCACAATACTAGCTTTACGTACATTAATCGATCTACCGATCTGTCTTTGACTAGTTTTCAAGAACCTTCTTTACGTAAGAATAATGATTATTTTTCATAAATCGACTTTTTTTTGTTTATTTTTTGAAAATTAGTATAAAAATCAATCATTATTTCCAAAAAAAAAAAAATTATTATTATTCCTAAAACATTAAAAAAATGATTAATTGCCAATTTCTTGTTTTTCCTTTTTACAATAATATAATTGATAATTAATCAATTTAAGATGTATAGTTTTCATAAAATTAATGACAATAACACTTAAATAGAATTGATATGGCACCAATTTTTTTATATTTAATATCAACGGTTACTATAGATTAACATTTAGAAAAAAAATAATATATATTTTTTCTTTTTTACAATAATATAATTGATAATTAATCAATTTAAGATGCATAGTTTTCATAAAATTAAATTAATGACAATAACACTTAAATAGAATTGATATGGCACCGGTTTGTTTTTTTAATATCGACGGTGACTATAGATTGACATTCAGAAAGGAGAAGTAAAAAAAAAAAAAAACTCCATAACAACTATTTGATAGTTGATAATTTATTATCTCTCGTTTGCTTTTTTTTTGTTTTTCGAAGGCTTCAAGGCCACAAGAGTCCAGCATACGACTGTGGGCGTCCCAACTTTTTTTTTTTAATACTATTTTTTCTACTTTTCTTTTATTTTTCATTATTTATTACTTTCTCCATATTAATTTTCTCCATATAATTAATGATTCTTTAATTCTTTTTGTATTTTTTTATACAACTGCACAAAATAAAAATTATTTTCCATAAATATTGTAAAAAATAACGGCCCCTATTATTTCCGCACAAATTGGTAGCCCAAAGTTGCAAGTGGCGGTGCCGAAAGTTGCAGCTCCACGGCCTTCAATTCTACTGGGACGACACGTTGTTCGTCTTTTTTTTTAAAAAAGGCTGTCATGGTACACGCTTGGAGCCTGTGAGCATGGGCCAGC